CTCTGCAAGTCCTTTGTGTAGAGCAGCACAGAGCAGGAAATTATCAATTGTCATAACCTGCTCTGAACTAACATGCTAGAGCTTTCTAAATGTTAGCTAACTTAATCTTGGCATCCTCCAAGATTAAGTGTGATTATCAGTTTTTAGATGAGTATGTTCAAGGTCACATAGCTCAAGAGTATGCAGCTGCTTCCCAAAATGTAGGTCTGCCAGACCTGAGTCTGCTGCTCTCTTCTTGCTGAAGATACTGCCTGAGTACTGGGATGTCTCACTTCTTTACCCCAGAGCAGTCATTAGCACACAGGCCATCTGACACTGGAAGCCAGTATTGGCAAATAAGCCCAATAGCCATGTCTGAGTTTATTCTGTGCCAGTATGTTCAGTGTTATTTTACTGCCCTCTTACCTCCTACTGTCCTCTGAGGCTCCACTGCTCCTCTTAGATCAGGAAGACCTTTCCTGGGCTTTTGCAGCACTGGACACTTAGGCAGTTTGCCTCAATAGTCCCACACATAAAGGCCAGATGTAGCTACCGATAACCTTGAGGCTTTATGAAGTGATGTCATGGGCATCCTGCGATTTCATGTTACTTCTAAGAAAAACTCTATGGACAGAGTCTCACTGGGGAGGATTCTGGGGACTCACCAGCTGACTGGTTTGAAATGTTGTCTTGAAGGGGTATTATTCTTTTTTTCTCTGAAGACCAAATCTTTCCAACAACCTCCTTCCTGCAGCATGTACAGTTGGTTCTGGGGAAAAATGAGAATGTGCATGCCAGGTTCTTGTGACTCAGGCCACCATGCTCTTCTCAGACATATGGAAAGATTCTGGTAGATGGGCTTTATAGAATGCTTTCTTCTGTTGCTTTAAGCACAATGCCAACCTGACTCTCTCTCTGAATTTTGAACTTAGGAAAAGCAAATGTGTTAAAAAGGAGAAAAAGGAAAGAGAGAAGGAGAGAGGGAGGGAGGGAGGGAGAGAGAGAGAGAGAGAGAGAGCAAGAGAGGAGAGAGTTTATGCAAGAACCTATTGAGGACATAAGAGGATGTCAGATACCCTGAGCTACAGTTAAGTTATGCCACCCAGTGTGGGTAATAGGAATAAAACTTTGAACCTCTGCAACAGCAATAAAAGTACTAATCAGATGAACCATCTCTCCAGCCCCGACACAGAAATGTTTAAAGTGCATCTAGTGTAAGAACCACTAATCTCTGGTAGGACACAGAGGCCATATTGTAGAATGGAAGATACACCTGAAGAAATGCCCTCATTTGTTCATGCCCTAGACCAGAATCTAGAGAGACTTTACCTCAGTAATTATCACAACCACTGAACCAAGTGGCTTAGAACTTTTGGCAGCTGTGAGGTTTATATGGATGAACATGGAGACCCTTTTGGTTAGAGTGAGTGAGGTGATAAAGCCTGCTTAACATCTATTCCCACATGAGAATGAGAACTGAAAGGACCTTGACCTTATTCATTATACAAGACAGGTGAAGAAAAAGTAACTGTTGAAGATGTTTATGAAATTTCTGACCAGGAGCATAGTGACCCATTTACCTTGAAGGAAAATCTGGAATGATAATTGGGTTTGATTAGAAGAAAGAAAACTTAAGAGTTCATTTTTGATAAGATGAAACTTGAGGCACCTGATGGACATGTAGATGGAAATGGAGATGTCCTGTAGCAATTGGATATATGGCTATGGAGCTCAAGAAAGAAGTGTGAGCAGACAACAAAGATTTGGAAGTCATCAGTATGGGAGGCTTTGGGAATCCTCCTGCAAATCAGATGATCACCAGCTCATTTATATTTTGAGAATTCAGACTTTTACAGATGAGTTTTGTTTTAATCAAAACTATAAGCTATGCATTTCTTTAAGCCCAAGAATGTGTGATGCTTAGTTGTTCTTTACTCTGAAGTATTAGGCCACCTATTCTAAGTAATAACAATATAAGATGTGGCCCATAGAAAAGACTCTTAAGACCCGGGTTCCCTAGCAGTTTCCAAGCCTGGGGATATGGTCTGATGATCTAGGAAGGTACCAGTTTGCACACCAGCAGCTGTTAGCTGGACCCACACATATTTTGACATACACCTTCATCCAAGATTATAACACTTGCTCATGATTTACCAAGAGTCTTCTTTATGCTGACTTACACTTCTGAGCAACTCTGTGCCAACAGACTGACCCCACAGCCCAGTGCCTGTAGCCTGGGACTAACTGACCCTCCATGTTGGAAGAAACTGCTGTTGTGACTGAATAGCAGGAGAGCCGTACTGTGAAACCTTCCAGAGGCACTGAGTATTCATGTGCTACCTGCAAGACAAGAATATTTTTAGGTTTTCCAGAAATATTTCATTTCACAGGTTTTTCTGAAAGGTTGTAATTAACTGCAGTGAACAAAAGAATTTAAAAAAAAAATAAAAGTGGGAGGAAAGGAACCAACCAGCACAGTTCTGTCCAACCTGTTGAGTAGGTGGATTCTTACCATGCAGGTGCTGAGGTTGAGGTGCAGGTGGGTGGAACACTGGGAATCCCAGTTCAAAAGGATCCAACCTAACCAGAAGCATGTTCTCTCCTAATGATGCACTACTACAAAGATAAAAGCAGCTTTTTTCCCCACCTCACATGACAAGGGTCCATCTTCCAAGGCAGGATCCCTGGCCTCTGAAAAACTAGGCCAGGATCAAGCAGAACACCCAGAGCACACTATTCTTGGGTGTTTTAAAATTCCCAAGGACAGAAGAGCCACAGAAGCTTCCTATTCCTGATAGCTTTTTCTCTTCCACATTCTTTCTTCTCTCATCTCCTCCAACACATGGATATGCCTGTGGGTCTCCTTGGCAGTATCTCCCTTGATTTATATATTTAGTTTTATTTATAAGATGGGATATTTCACTCCAAAAAAAAAAAAAAAAAAGGAATCAGAGTTACAGATAAAGTGACCTAGGTAAAATGAGTCCTCAGAATAGTGTTCTCAGGGTCTTAAAGGCAAGATTGGTGACTCAGGAAGCAGCACTATTGAAGGTCTCCTGAAATGGAAGGGAAGTCAGCAGGCCAAGTGAATCCTGGCTTGGCAACTACAACACTGAGACAAAATCTGATCAGCATGCCACCAGTAATGAGGGAGGAAGATCTATCTCCATCCACACTCCATCTTTTCCTTGCTGGCTACACTACACTTGCGGGTTCCACATCTGACAGGGTGACAGAACTCAGGGTATCTCTCCATCACCAGAGGAGAAGTGCCCCTTTCCACCTGGACTCACTCTTGATTGCTATGCCATCCTCAACAGGGCTCAATTGTGTTGGATGGTCTTATGTCAACTTGACATAAGCTAAAGTCATCAAAGAGGGAACCTCAATTGAAAAAATACTCCCGTGACATTGGACTTGTAGGCAGGCTGGTAGGGCATTTTCTTAATTAGTGATTGATGGGTGAGGGTCCAGCTCACTGTGTATGGTGCCACTCCTCAGCAGGTGGTCCTGGGTTCTGTAAGAAAGCAGGCTAAGAAAGCCATGTGGATAAGTCAGTAAACAACTCTCCATGGCCTCTGCATCAGCTCCTGGCACCCATGTTCCTGCCCTGTTAGAGTTCCTACCCTCACTTCTTTTGGTGATGAACTGTTATATGGAACTGTGAGCAAAATAAACCATTTCCTCCCCAGCTTGCTTGGGTCATGGTGTTTCATCACAGCAATAAAACCCCTAAGACAACTGACATATACAGGCTTAAGGGGGATCCTGTTCAGTGTCCAAGAACACAAAGTCAGTATCTCTGGCTCAGGGGCATCACCCTGGGATCTTTACAGATTCTTGGTCTCAAACAAGCCATGCCTTTCTTAAAATGCAGTGATAAGCTGCCTGAGGTTTTGGATCCATTCCTAACATCTCTAGCTCTCATTAGTCTCACTATAAAATGAGAATACTAGAATAAGGTAACCTGAGACACTCTCACCTGTACCCCTAGTTGGCAATTATGAATCCCTCTGTTCTCTAGAACTGAATTCACTCAGGGTCACAATTAAATAATTACTTGCTACATGGACTTATTCATGGGATTTGCTGTATTTCTGATAAGCTTATACTTTGCCATCCTGATTCTGTCACTCGTTTCCTTTTGGGTTAAAGCAAAATGAGACAGTCAGCATTTGGCAACTGAATTTAAGAATGAACAAATAAATGATGATCCTTGTTATCAGGAAGCCAGAAAAGGTTTGTAAAATCTAAAGTCACTTCTTGGTGCTAACATGTGTTGTGAGATTTTTTTTTTCAGTACAATAATAAGCAGTGTAGGCCTATGGTGTTTCCCTTCAGCTACATCTAATCCCTACTTTCTCCAAGTCCCGGATGCTTTCCCTGTATCTTTCTGACCATTGCAGACTCTAAACTAGAATTATTATTGAGTCTTGGTTATCTCTTTCTTTCTTTTGACTCTAAGTTCCTTGAGGGAAAATATGTAGTGTATTCACCTTTGTATCCTACAGGGTCCAGGACAGAAGTAGCACTAATAACAGTGTCATAGGTGGAAAGCCTACTAGTGCACACAGAGCTTCAAGAACTAACTCTGGTGTGTCTATGCTCACTCAAGCTTAGTAGACATGATAATACTTTCTTTGAAGAAAAAGAACTGAAGTTCATAGAGATTATGTAACTTAGTACAGTCAGGCAGCTCGTGAATTTGAGATGCACATAAATCAGTGATGTTCTTAAGAGTTCAGAATTCTTTCTCATCAGTTTTTTTTTTTTTAATGGTTGGATGAATGGGTGCATGGGTGGGTGGATGGGTAGGTGGCTGGATGGGTGGATGGATGGATGGGTGATTGATTGAAGGAAGTAGTATAAAATAAAAGATGATATAGTATTCTTCAAAAGATGAAAAGAAGAGAAGACACTCATATTCTAGGAGTTTCATCATAGTTCCTAAGCACCCTGCTTTTGAGGATAGAAAGGACCCTCGTTCTATTCTTGTGGATAACCCTATCTCCCTCCTACAGATTTTGACAGTATCAGGACCACCTGAAGGAGGGACTCGTGTGACCATCCATGGCGTGAACCTGGGCTTGGACTTCTCTGAGATCGCTCACCACGTGCAGGTGGCCGGAGTACCCTGCACACCCCTCCCAGGGGAATACATCATCGCTGAGCAGTGAGTCCTTCCTGCTGGCCTTTGTCCCTGTGAGCTTCAGAATGGAGAGTTTCTGTACTTCCTACTCTGGGGCTTTCCCAGGCATCTTTCCTTCTGTGGAAAAATGCCCCCAAGATGCCTTCCCAGGGTGTTTCTGCTTCAGGGGCCTTGTTCCAGTTGCTTTCCTGTTCTAGTTTCCTTAAGCACCAGGGCTCCAGGTGACCATGCTGCCCCTCACTTTCCCTCCCTTCTGACATGAATGTTGAAAGCTCATCTAGGACCTCTTGGCTCCTCCTACTGGCCCCCATTGAAATGCATTGTAGAGAGTAGGCTGTGGGCAACAATTTGTTTGGTGCATGGAGCTCTGACAGCAGCTTAATCTGAGCAGGGCCTCCTCTGGAGCAGATTCATTTATTTCAGTAAGGGAAATGTCAGCTGGAAATTAGAAAATAGGCATGTAGTGGTGGGCAGGCAGGCGAGCTCAGGAGTGACATATGTTCCGAAGTGGGGTGTTCCCTTGGCAGTGGAAACTATAGTCCGTGAGTTGGTGGGCAGGAAGTGGGCCAGAATCTGGGGATAAAAGTAAAGAAGGAACAAGGGTAGGGAGCCACCAGAGCATTCTTCATGGCTTTGTCATGTGACATTGAGTCAAGGGCTCCTTCATCCACTGAGGATGCAACTCTGTGTGTGTCAGGAGCTGATAAGAGCTTGACTTTAACTCAGGCTTTTCTCTTTCACCCTGTTTCTCTGCAGCCTCGGGCTCCTCTGAGAGCAGTCCTCAATAGCAGTCATAAAAATGACATCACTTTATTTTCCATCAGCAATTTTTAGCATATAGAACACTTTCCCATTCTCTCTCTCTCTCTCTTTCTCTTTCTCTCTCTCTCTCATTATCCTGACCTCTGGCAAGTAAATTATTGTAAAAATCTGGCAAGGGGAAAAGTTGGGGGGATGATTGTCTCCTGTTACTTGGGAAGTAAACATCGGGGAAGGATCCCACCCAAAATCTCCTAATTCCTAGTTTAGGCCTATTTCACTGAAACAGCAGCCACCGGCAACAACTCCTCCTGGGCAAGAGAGGCCTGGATAGGCTATGAGTCATCCATCACCAACGGCTCTCAAGACCTCAAAGGGTCTTGATTCTAGCATAGCTCACAGAACTGTCAGTGGAAGAAAGGGTAAATTCCAAGACTCTTGGGACTGTGTAAGTGCCACTGGGCACAGGAAGGAGGAAATAAAACTGGCCTGATCCCTCCAATTCTCCAGGTCCTATTCTTCATTGACAACCTTATCCCTCTAAGTAATGAGCTTTGAGGGAGTGGTGGTTGGTCCTACAAAAAGGGAGTCTGGAAGGCATAAGTATTTCTAGGGAACTACACTAGGAGGTAAACACTGGAGTCGGAACCACTTGCAGGAAGCCTCGTGGTCACATGGCCTAGACCGCACGCCCTGAAAAGCCGCACCAGCCAGGCACTTGGACACACAGACCACATGCTCACCTGCTATGCTCCAACTTGGGGGCTTAGCAGACTCAGACTTTAGAGTGAGCAGTGTGACCTGATGGGCAGCTGCAGTTAAAACTTGCCCAAGGTTTGAAATAAACTGTTTTGACCCTGGCTTGTCTGCTAGCCAGCCCCAAGACTTCCATAAGCCATTTGATCTATGACCTTCCTCTACTTGACTGCAAGAAACTGTAGTTCTGTTTATGAGGTCGAGTATATTTCTTTGCCAAAGAATGTGGGGAAGAAAGTGCCCAGATGAACTGGAAGTGTGTTTAGGAAAGTACCCTGGGGAGGCAGTCATTCCAAACCTATTGTGGTCAATGGTATCTCTTAAAAGCTGCCCCTTTCTGTGCTTCAGACAGGACAGGCAGGAGGCAGTGAATGACACCCTATGCCTGACTGGTTGCCACCTGGTTTCCAGCTGTGCCAGGCTCATTACCACTCTTAGGGTTTCAGAGTTTGTGAACATCATTAAGCCTCCATCCTGGGCAGTGAGCAGCAGCTGCAATTGTTACAAATGTCTGCAAGAGATGAATTTGGCTAACTGGGCTCAATGCAGAACCCTGGGCACAAGCAGAAGTACAGTACTGATTCACCATATGCTTGTGTCTGCTATCTATCATTCCACAATTAGGTTAATATTGGCTTAAAGGTCCTGATTATTCCTGCAATCAACATCCCACATGACTGTGGAGGGCAAGATGATTCAGCCACAGAACATTTTCTGGGCGGTGAAATGCAGGTCCAGACTTCAACTCTGCATCTCCAGAGACAAGGGTTTGCTCTCATCTGACCTTTCTCTCATCTGTTCTATTTGTGAACTCAAAACACAGCTGGATGAGTGCTGGACCTCTGTGCTTCCCATACAGGAAGTGATCCAGCACTTATGCATGTCTGAGGGAGATGGTATGATATGAGGATAATGAGAAAACTGAGCTGGTGCCAGGAGCCTGGGGGCAAGCTAGAGTTCAGTTACTGATGAACTGAATAGCACTGGGCGAGTCACTTTGCTCCCTTATTCTCAAATGGCCCATTTGTAAACTAAGAACAGCTGATGTGTGCAATCCCCCAGGTGGTCCTCAGGAGGCTAAAGCAATATGACCTGAAGAATCTGTAACAACTCCCCTCCCCAACCACCTAGAAAGCTCATTTGATAGCACTAATGTGATCCCAGAATCCCTCTGTTAATTAAGAGTCAAATCGTCAAATAGAAACTGGACAGTTGTTTGTCCCAACTCATTTTATAAGGGGAAATTTTACCATCTCTAGTCATTGCCTTCTAGTAATACAATAGGGAGCCTTGGAGCCACCAGGAACACAGAGGACATGGAAATTGGGAAGACTCCCAGAAATTAAACCAGAGAATACAAATGAGGCTTAGGGGAGGAAATGATATATGCCGTTATGCCTGTGGTGGTCCACAACCAAGAAGAAGAGACATCAAGTCACTACTAAGTCTCAAAGCCCTAGGAAGCAAGGGAGGTTGTTCCCTGAAGTTGCCAAAATCCGTCACTACCATGATGTCTGTGCTGTCCCTCCCTTAAAGTCCAGAGCTTTTTATTAAATCCATCATCTGAGACAAGTGTGAGGACACATGCCTATAGGTCCTGCTACTTAGGAGGCTGAAGCAGGAATGCTGCTTAAACACAGGAATTTGAGACCAGCCTGGAAAATGTAGTGAGACTTTGTTCAAAATACATATACACATACATACATGCATACATACATACATACATACATATGTACTTACATACTCTGGTGTCCCCAAATTAGAGTGATCAAAGGCACAAACTTGGGGTTGGGGTTCACCCATCTTTCAATCAGGGTTCCTTCACTTGCTGTAATGTGGCCCTAAATAAGTCATGTAGCATCCCTGAATATTGGTTGTCTATAAGTCATAAATAATAAGACCCTTCCTGAAGCAGAGGATTAATGTGACATAGGGTACCATGTTGTGGGCTACCTTTGCCATCAGCAGCTATCACTCTTGTCATTAGGTCATAGAGTCTACTGTGGCAAAATCCTTATTCTTCTATATAGCTCTTTCTACTTCTGCAGCACCCTTTCTTCTGTAACTCATCACTCTGAGCTAAGACAGGTAACCTGTGAACACTCAAGTCCTCTCCATCCTGCCTTACAGGACTCATGAGTGAAGGGAGAAAAGAGGGAGACAGTTCTGTTTCACCTACAACTCTGCTTGATTTTCTGAAAACTGCAGTCTAACTTCTTGGACATTTCCATGCAGACCCTTGTTCATAGTCTACTCCTGAACCTGCATAGTCTACCCTCTCCCTACTTATACCCCAGGGGGACAGAGCTCAGCTGCTGAATGAGGACACCATGCCTCGGGCCCGTTCAAGCACGGCACTCAGAGACAGTTTACGGGTATTTAACTCAGACACTTGGGTTGGCCCTATGTCCTTCTATCACTCTTCTCCCAGGTGCTCTATACATAAAGCGTAGCTTTTGGAATATGAACCCTAAGCAAGAAAACATTTAGAACCTAGAAAGACAATGTGCCCAGCCAATTTCTAAACCCTTCATGGACAGTTGAGCAGGCTAGAGACCTTCACCTTTCTGAAACAGGCCTAAGAATAAGAGTTCAGTCTTGCCTATAACATTCACATGTCCCCCAATTTCCTTTTACCACAACTTCATGCCAACCATAATTACTTCCTCCCTTTCCTGTGGAGGATTTCTCCCACAGCATATACACTGGCCACGAATGAGGAAAGAGCCAGGCTTGATTAGAAAAAAATGGAAAGGCTTATCTGCTTCCCAGTCCCCACACTCACTGCTGACAAGAATTAGCTGAATCTCTAGAGTTCTTTTAGGGGTCAAAGGGTGGGCTGTAAAAAATCAGAGACTCAAAAACCAAAGCAGGGTCCAGCACCAGAAATAGTATTTGATTTGTTACTCCAAGCAAGTAGCACCATGAAAATAACCAAACACCATAGGCTAAGCTTCTCAGATGCTACACAAGTGAGATTTAAGGAGAGGACTACATGTGAGACATTAATTGATTGTTACTATCATGCTTATGTGGGTTCATAATGAATTTATTCATAGATAAAGAGAGAACCTTCTTCCGTGAAGTGCTTTCTTATTGTATCTTATATGCTAAATGTAAAAAGACAGTTATTGTATGTTAAGTAGAAATTTACTAGGAATCAACGTACTTATTTAGGATTAAGTGTTATGAAGGAGATGGAGACTAGTGGCATGCCTTGTGTGTGTGTGAGAGAGACAGAGATACTTGTTTAATGCTAGTTTTAGTACATGAAATGAAATCTCTGTTAAGCTACCTTCTTTCCTAGAGAAATGATTCAGATAAGCATCAGTCTTTTTAACACAGATCTTCCCACTGTGCCAGGATAATACAGGAGGTGGGGGAGGGTTGCTTTTCTGATCCTCCCTACTAAGTGGGCTTAGCATGGACACTGTTCTTGTGATCTGAAATGATGTCAGGAGGCAAGAAGAAACTTTCCTTCCTTATTCCCTGGCCCTCTATTTGATGAAACTGTAGGACCCTCTCTTACTTATCCTAGGCCTGGTGATTCCAGGTAAGGAACCTCCCCCCCCCCAAAAAAAAAGTATAATTTCCTCAATCCCTACCCATCCCCTACAACCCACTCTTTCTGGAAGACACTGTGACTTAAGGAACCAGTGTTTAAATGTTCTTCTGTAACTTATCTCAGGAGCCAGGAAAATCATCAGGGGGTATTGATCTGGCATGCTGAGAGAGTACAGAGCATCTTCCTCTAGTGTTCCTGACAATATAAGGTGTGACTTCTAACCAAGGCCACGTCACTTGGTACCTAATGAACTCAGCCACCACCCACTTCCATGAATTTCTGCCACCGTACTGGAAGATGCTGTTTGAATGCTCACATTATCTCCCCAGAGTATCTATCCCCTTTTGAAAGCTCACTGCAGGAAACAAACTACAACTGAATCAGTGTGACAAATAATCACTCACCTGTGCTCTTAGGGAGAGCTGCTATGTTAGCTTGCTGCATAGCAGAACACACCAGGTAAGTATGGGCCCTCAATCTCTACTGGACAGTCCACTCAATCTAAGAAATGACCCATGGTGAGACACTGCACTAGGTGCTCACAGGAATAGTGGCTGAATTGAGCTACATGGCACATCAGAGGTACCCACAGCTTTTTATATATAACCACATCCACTGTGCAGATAAGACAAAGTTCAGGAAGCCAGCACTAAATCCATGGTCACATGGGCACTATACTGAGCAGCGGCCCACCACTACAGCAAGACAAAGATGGGTCACTCAGTGACTGCTGAGCAAATGTGCAGGGACTGTAGCTTTGTCAAGCCTCTCACTGGGAGGCCTGCTGTTTTCTCAGGATCGTCTGCGAGATGGGCCATGCCCTTATGGGCACTACATCTGGGCCTGTGCGCCTGTGCATTGGGGAATGCAAGCCAGAGTTCATGACCAAGTCCCACCAGCAATATACTTTTGTGGTAAGTACTGGGACCAAGGCTGGCCACATACCCAGCAAGGACACACATTTGTTCCAGACATCTCCTAGGAAATTCTTATCTGCTCCTCCCAGCCAAGCAGACCATGGTAACCAGTAAAAGGAATTTCTGACCTCCCTGTTTACAAGATTATCTTTCTGGGGTTGGATAGTCAGATGACTTAAAAAACAAACCTATACAAAAACCTCAGAGACTTTGGAGTCTCAGACCATAGGTCAGAGTTCTAAATAAGGCATAAATGTAAGCCTTACTTAGAAATGAGAAATTAGTTGCCTTCTATCCCTCCATGTGACACTGTGATCTAATTCTAGCCTAATGAGGACACACTAATTATGTACTTTATACTTATCCATATGCTTTGCTCTTTGTAAGATACTTTATGCTAAGGTTAGAAGAGTCACTGTACTATGGCAGAGATGTAACTCTATGCACAAGACCAGGAGAGGGAACATATGAGGTGACAGTTCTGTGTGTCTATATGGATATGTGTACATATATGCACACTCATAAAAAACATGTGATCATGCTTAGACAACAAGCAGTTTTGATACCAAAGCTTTGTGTGGTTGACACTAAATTCATGCCAAATCAATAAACTGCTTCTGGGGTCCTGAAGTCTACCCAGGCTCAGTTCCTCCTGAATCAGTCTATCCAGGCTCAATTCCTGAATCAATATACTGTATTAGGTGCCCTCAAGTTCCTTGTCTAAATCTTACCTACATCTCCACAATGAGTACTTCATTAAAAAGTGTTAACAGTATGACAGGAGTCTACTGAGTGCATCTGAAAGACTCTAACTAGCAATGTTTTCAAAGCAGATACAAAGACTCATGACCAAACCTTCGGCAGAGTACAGGGAATCATATGAAAGAAGGGGAGTTAGTATGATGGGGAAAGGGATAGGAGCTTCACAAGGACCAAATATATCTGGGCACAGGGTCTTTTCAGAGACTGACATTCAACCAAGGACCATGTATGGATATAACCTAGAACCTCTGCTCAGATGTAGCCTGTGGTAGCTCAGTAACCAATTGGTTTCCCATAGTGAGGGGAACAAGGACTATTTCTAACAGGAACTCAATGACTGGCTCATTGACCTCCCCTTTCCCCAAGGGAGGAGCAGTCCTGTTAGGCCACAGAGGAGGGCTTTGAAGCCAGTCCTGAAGATACCTGATAAAACAGGATCGGTTGAATGAGGAGGAGGTCCCCCCATCAGTGGACTTGGAAAGGGGCACTGTGGAGATGAGGGAGGGAGGGTGGGATTAAGAGGGAATGAGGGAGCGGGACACAGCTGGGATACAGAGTTAATAAAATATAACTAATAAGAAAAAAATAAAATTAAAAATTTTTAAAAAAGTGTTAACAACCAGTCTTGCAAAGAGTTTTGAAAAATCATTAGGTCACAAAATTCTCTTCTCTCAAAAGCATTTTACTACTTAGCCTAAAGCTCCCAGGTCTATGTTTTCATATTGACATTACTACCTTTTTCCTTGTACATTTTTCTCTCAGATTTGCCAGTCTGTCTGCAGCCACTGTACCTCATTTTCTTCCCAGGAGACAAGAGAAGCAAAGAGAAAAGATAAGATAGGGAGAGAACTGTGAATATCAGAGCTGCTTAGTGCCCTGAGCCCATTGTACCCTCCTCAATGGAGAAAGGAACAAACAGAAAAGTTCCATGATTCACCACAGAGCCATAGATATTGAGGGGCTGATACAGACTAGAATCCACTCACTAAGTTAAATGTACTTCCCAAGGTATATGTGGCATCATATGCTTTTGATCCGAGCATTGAGATCAAAAGATGAAGACAGGTGAGTCTCCAGCTCAAGACCAGCTTGGGCTATATAGTGAGACTTTATCTAACAAGATAACAAAAACAAGAGCACTTTCTATACCATTTCCCAGTAGGCAGAAGCAATTCTTTCTGATTTAGGTCAGCTGCTTAGTGCATCATAGGTAGACATTTCTTTTAAGCTTTAGCTTAATGTGCAGCTTCGTGAGCATGCTAGTATCTGAGATTCTCATCCACCAGTAATGGTCAGAGGAACCATGTTTACCACTTACTGATGGCACCCAGAATCCTCAGTGCTTAGGGCACTGAGGACATATAAATGGACCATTCATAGAGGCTGCAGTCTATCAGCTGCCCAACTTAGGCAAGAACATTTTACTCAGCCCTATCAACTTTCTGGAGAGAGGAAAAAAAAAAAAACCTCAGAACATGCTCTCTATATAGTAGCACTTTCAAATTGTTCTCAATTTGCAAAGTAATTGATAGATTAGTCAGTGTCATGTCAGCTTTCCCTTCAGTATTATGAGTACAGGACTCCCCCCGGAAGTTAATTAATTCCAATGTATAGCAGCCCTTCACCTTCCCTGAACAGACCATCTAGGGAAAGCAGTGATGTTTGGAACTACAGAGGGCAGGAAAGTATCTTTTCTCCCAGCATCATGATTATACCTCTTATCATTAGGTCTAGCCTTGGACCTAAACTAGGAATGTTTCTCTGCTTCCTTACAAAGAATCCTTCTGTGCTGTCACTCAGCCCCATCCGGGGACCAGAGTCAGGAGGCACCATGGTGACCATCACGGGCCATTACCTTGGTGCTGGGAGCAGCGTGGCAGTGTACCTGGGCAATCAGACCTGCGAGTTCTATGGGTAAGGTAAATGTGAAGGGTGGTGTGTTGTTGTTGCCTTGGTATGCCTTTACCTCATCATTGGTCCTCTCCTTGGCTCAAACATGTCATCTGTTGTTAGAAATATATGCAACTTATCATTTTATGTCCCATAGATCAGAGGGATTGGTAACAGCTAAAGGGAACTGGAGACAAGGGCTATTAGAACAGATGAGGAAAGATCCCAGGAGCTCCTCAGGCCGAGCTTCATTATAGGGACTTGAGACTCATGGAAGTCATATAGTCTTAGCAAATTTGTCTTTGGGATTATCTTCTGTGCATTAAAAAAAAACAACAAACAAACAACAACAAAAACATCTAATATTGTCAGCCATAACTATGAGCCCTAAGGATGCAGACTTATGGATAATTCTGAAGGAATCCATGGGTGAGGCACCATTTTGCCCAGTGTTACCTACCTAAGAGTTTTGCTGCAAGAGAAAGCCCAGTGTGTTTATCACAACAGAGGACAGGTATTATGTGATTATTTATTGACAACCTGACTAGAGCCTAAGCATTGATTAGGCATATTCTAGAAAAGTCCAGAAAAAGAAAGGAGTTCTGCAAAATCTTGTAGTGCCTTGTCCTTGCCCGTGTTCTTTAAGTAACGTTTCTACTCTTCTTCCTTCCTAATACAGCTGGGTAAAAGGAAGGTGCTGAAGGACACTGATGAAGGCTATTTCTCTAGTACAGAAAATAAGAAAACAGCAGAATGTATCATGGGCCACACATGGGGTGAGGGATATACCTTTCAAGCTAACTCATGCTCATCTCTTTTGTCTTCACCCTTCTCTGTTTCCCCATCAGGAGGTCAATGAATGAGATTGTATGTGTTTCACCTCCATCATCCAATGGACTAGGACCAGTCCCTGTCTCTGTGAGTGTTGACAGAGCCCGGGTAGATAGCAGTCTACAGTTTGAGTACATAGATGACCCGCGTGTCCAACGTATTGAGCCGGAGTGGAGCATCACTAGGTGGGTGAGAGTGGCAGGTATGTGCGAAGAGATATGAGATTGGCAGGAACATCATCTGGAAGGCAGTGTGGTTGGTGGAGTGTATCTGGAGGAAGGTGAAAATAACAAGATTCACCTAGAGGGAAAGGAGATTGCAGAAGCGCTACAGCCCAAGGGCAGCTCATGTTGATCCTAGTGGTTGAATCTTACTATACTAAATTTAAGAGGGCTTTACCTAACCTAGCTTCTGCTTGTTTACAGTGGCCACACACCCCTAACTATCACAGGCTTCAACTTGGATGTCATTCAAGAGCCAAGAATCCGAGTCAAGTTTAATGGCAAAGAATCTGTCAATGTGAGTAACCTATGGTCTTCCTTTCCTTGGTCTCAGATGTGCTCTGGGCACATCTTGCCAGGCCAGCAGCTAGGGGTAAATATAGGGATGCTTGATGACTATACAGGGAACTCTACTGAGACTTGTCCCTGTAGTCATGGTTCCAAACACCTGAGCCTTCCAGAAACTAATATGATGGCAGTATAATTTCAGAAGGTGATATAGCAATGGTCTAAAAATGCTGGCTGCTGAATGATACAGCACAAAAGGCGAATGTTCACTTCAGTGAAAATATTCACTTAAAGACTAAATGAGAAACAGAGTGGGAGGTGGAAAGAAGTTCTTCCTGCACATTTAGAAATTTCTGTGTTGGAAGCAAGACTGCCACTTATGAGCTGTATGGTTCTGATCAGGTCCTTTAACTTCTGTGATCTTCTTCTGCTCATCATAGGTAAATGGCTGAAAGACTGACTTGCTTTGCAGTTTCAGAACGGGCCACCCATGTATAGCTTCTTCCCTCCTCTGCATAACTGCATAATTTTATTCTTTTTAGCTATAGATTTATGTGGATTCCAAAAAGTTCTCTTATTCTGATGAGAACAGAATGTCTGAAAAGTTACTGAAAAGCTTTCAGTTTGTTCCCTGAAGCACCATCTCACTCTTTCCAGCTAGAATTTTTGGAGCATTGTTGTATTCATAATTCATAACACAGAAGATGCTGTGTTGGCCATTATTATTACTATAAATTACAATGATTACTCTGTGACCTTTGGCATTTGGTAAAGCTGAGATGAACATGTTCAGCCTGCTGAAACTTCCTTAGAAAACAGAGATGCACAAAACAGAAGCTGGGCTGGACCAAGAAATGTCCTAAGGATTATCAGGTTCCCACCCTCCTTGCATAGCAGAGAAACTAAGACCAAATGGATAGATGGCTTACCCGTAGTCACAAGGTATTCTTGGGCCTGACTTCCCATCATGGTAGAAATGCTCAGCACTCTTGGCTAGGTAAATGCAAGTTCCCTTCATCCAAGTACAGAATTTTAATCATGGCAAGAGCCTGGACCCTATCTATCTCCTGACCGCTAAGTCTTCTCTGAGCTCCCAGGCACTGCTGCTCTTTCAAGTTTCTGAATTATTAGGAACGGGAGCCTTGAACTCACACCCAGGGTATATAAACCATTCATTCTCAAAAACAAAAACAAACAAACAAATAAAAACCTAAATGCAAGTTTTAAAACACAGATCTTATTATCACCCAACATGGCTAACCAGGATATATTTCACAGATCAATTCTTAAGAGAAGTGAGCTCCATGCCAAGGCAGCCACCTTTCAGGCAGAGGCAGGGAAAAAAAAAAGCTGGCTCTAGCTTCTCTTGGTCTTCATAAGAAGGACAGGTTCTTCAGGGCCACAGGATTGATTTGTGTATGTCAGTTGGCTTTAAGACATGAGGTATATTCTTGGCTGCTTGGTACAGAGTGGGTTGGTTTGGGCATGTGCATAGTATGACATGAGGTGGTTTGGGATGCTTCTGTCATTGGTTTCTACATATAAGGAATCCTTCCTGGTAGAAGTCTTTTTCTGTCTCAAGGAATTGAGAAGCTGGGGAGGACTGCCTCCCCTGTTAACAGGATCAATATAAGGCACGAATATGCGTAAAATGAGATGTGGATATAGTATATAGAGAATGCTACAATGTTGGCATGAGGCAGACAAGAGTGACTACCAAAAGGTTCAGCTTTTTCCCTAATGGGAAAAAAAAAAATCAGGGCTAGATCTTCTCTCTTATCTGACATCCTGCAAAAGCCACAGGCCAGGTTAAGATCCCTTCTCTCTTCCAAAGATTCACCTACATCTTGAGAACTATTTTCTCACTGCCACCACCACTACACAACCATAACTACAGTATTTCCAGGAACTAAAATATAGTTTCACTTTATGGATGGAATTGGAAGGCCGTAGGCCTATGTGGTGACCTACCTGAGGCTGGCAGGCCTCAATGGAAGGCATAGGTGAAGACAGTGTCCCTGGAACACGGCCTCACAGTGCTGTCCAGTGCCTCTGTATACAGAAGAGGGAAAGGAAGCACTTTGTCCTTTTGCTCCTTTTAAGCCCCAGTTTGGGCCCAGCCTGCCTAGGGTCACCCTTTTCTTTGTGTTCTAATCTCCTGATAGATAGTGAGGAGAACTGGTACAAAGCCTAAAATGCATAGGGTTGTTGGCAAGCTGTGCTCATTTAACTGACCTGTTGCTTCTCCTCAGTGTCTGCAGATGCACCATGACATGGCCATTAAGTCAGAACTGGCTGCTGAAGTGTGAAAAGGACAGGAATGGGAACTAATCCCTAGCACAGCACAAAGGATGGGGAGGCTGTTTACTATGAAGGGTTAAAACTTGGACCTGAAGTTCTGACATCACTTCTGACATACCAGCTCTTTTCTGTGTTACTGTCAACTATTTCAGAAGACACCTGTTTCTAGTCATGAAACCTGAGTGTGTATATATTGACCACACACACACACACACACACACACACACCTTATCTACTAGACAGGAAATACTAGAGTTCTTAATAGTGTCCTAGTCTTGGCCTCAGAAACAACCACCGCAGGAGAGAATAGCAGACTGTGCTAAGTAGGGGCCAGCCAGTAGAATTTTGATGGTAGGCCACAGATCTATCAAGAGACAAGGGAGAGCATGAACTCAGTGTCACTTGTAAGGTTCTACCCCAGTGCAGATGGAAGAATACATGGCTAGAGAAAAGAAAAAAGCCCTGAGTGGCAGGATCCTGTTTACTTACCACTTTTTCCTGAAACATTAGCTGAACATTATGCAAGGTACAAAATGCTCATCTCATCATTTTCTGCACCATGCACAGCACTCCTCCCCCAACACATACACATACTCCCTTACTACAACTGATTTTTCTTCAGATATTCTTACATCTTCAACCCCAAACCTTTGCATTGTTATCTACTCTACCTGAAACTTGTTCGTGCACTATTCTTTGGCCCAGGTAAGCCTCTTGTTCTTCAGATGAAAGTGTTCGCTACTTCTGAGGGAAATCTTTCATGAGTCTTGCTTCAGGCCACACATACTCACAGATTTCCAGAGCATCTTCCCACCAGAGCATTCCTCATCCATTTATTCATTTCAGAGCACTGTGGCCTGTGCTACCCCAGGCTCTCTGTGGACTGGCTTATAATGCTTGTTTAATTAATCCAGAGCTGTCCCTTGAGACTACTTCATTCTGTGCACCAGACTCTCAGCCTAGTGTCTGCCAGAAAACAGGTACTCAAAACACTGTTAATGAATAAATGAGTGGGGTTAAATGCATTGTCACCACATTTTTAAGGGCCTCATATGCAGTGAAGGAATCTAAGCAAACAGCGAATAAGAGGTGGTAATCGACCCCCCCTTCACCCACCAAGTGGTCAGTCTTGAATGCTGCTCTCTGCCTCCTAGGTGTGCACAGTGGTAAACACAACCACCCTCACCTGTCTGGCACCCTCTCTGACCAGTGACTACCGTCCAGGCCTGGACACTGTGGAACGGCCAGATGAGTTTGGATTTCTCTTTAACAATGTCCAGTCCTTACTCATCTATAATGACACCAAGTTCATCTACTATCCTAACCCAACATTTGAACTGCTCAGCCCCACTGGAGTCTTGGATCAGAAACCAGGTTCACCCATCATCCTGAAGGTAGGAGACAGGAATGGGGAGGAAAAGCCTGGACAGTGCTGGGAGAGAGGCCCTTCCCACTTTAGAAGGCCAAATCTCCAGGTGCTAGCACCCAGGAGTTTTATTGTATTCCCCCACCCTTAAATCCCCTATGTCCTCCCCTCCATCTGTATCTGTCCAGTGTTTTGTCTTTCCCCTCCCTTTCTTCCCTTCCTCCTTTCCCAACCCCTTCTCTCTCCCTCTTTCCCTTTTTCTCCTTTTTTTTTTTTTTTTTTTTTTTTTTTTTTTTTGGTCTCCTTTAATCTGTGGCAGGTTGAAGTCTTTTTTTTTTAACCTGTCACAGAGGCTTATTGGTTTTTGCATTGTTGCTCCACCCTGTTTTTTAAGTAGGCAAATCATTTCTGCAAGTATATGCCAGTTCTCGTCATTAAGACACCTGTTCTCTACAGGGGAAAAATCTCTGCCCTCCTGCCTCTGGAGGAGCAAAACTCAACTACACAGTAATGATTGGAGAGACGCCCTGTGCAGTCACTGTGTCTGAGACTCAGCTGCTCTGTGAACCTCCCAACCTCACAGGGCAGCACAAGGTCATGGTGAGTGAACCCTCTTCTGTCCCTGTCCTCTGCCCAGCCTCACTGTCATTCATGAAAAAAGGTTCCCTTCCACCTCAGTAATGACTCATCCCCTCCATATTTCCTCATCTCCAGGTCCTGCATAAAAGTGCATAGCAATTGGGAACACATAAATAGAAAGGCAGCTCCCAAAGCAGGATTGCATAGCATCAAAATATGCACTGCACCGTGGCAGTGTGTCCTATCATTCCCCACACTGTAGCACTGTAGGACATGATGGCATGCCATGGCTGTATACCTGTAGGCATTGTGTGTGTATCTGTGTGTACAATGTACAGGTTCACGTGGGCGGGATGGTGTTCTCACCTGGCTCTGTGAGTGTCATCTCCGACAGCTTGCTGACCTTGCCGGCCATCATCAGCATCGCAGCTGGTGGAAGCCTCCTCCTTATCATTGTCATCATTGTGCTCATTGCTTACAAGCGCAAGTCTAGGGAAAATGACCTCACACTCAAGCGGCTCCAAATGCAGATGGACAACCTGGAGTCCAGGGTGGCACTGGAGTGCAAGGAAGGTGAGTGTAGGCACTTGCTCACTTCCTGGAATTCTTCTTCACTAATATCATCACCCTCCTTACATACAAACCCCATCTTGATTTTATCTTCTTTCCACTAGCTTTCATATTCTACTCTTTCGCAGGAATTTCCCCATCCCGGGGGTTAAGAAGCCTGAGGGGTATGCCCATGTGTAAGAAAATGTGTCCATTGGCATTGTTCACTGTCTCTGCTCTACCCCAGTTCAACCCATAATTTAGCCAGCTGCCTCTCCCTCTCAAGACTACTATGTCTTCACAGTCAGCCTGCCAGGCCTCACTGTCTCAGATCAGATTCTTCAATTGCCAGGATTTACCCCTTTCCTAATATTCACAGGAGTACCTTTGTAGTACATGGAAGCCATAGCAGGGAAAGTAGGAGAGCCCTGCTCCTGGCTCATCATCTAGGATTTGTTTCCTATTTCTATTGTAGGCTGAATGTTCCAAAGGCCATACTTGCTGATAGCCTTGGGTGTAACTATGTGTAGGAGTGGATACTGTGTTTTTTCTCATCTCTCACACAGACACATACAAAAGATGACAAGCATACCTTGCATTCTCGCAGGCTGAGAACCTGGCAGCTCTCTGGGTAAACGTCTCAATTAGGAATCAAAACATTTTGCTGCAAGTGGCTTTTCACAAGCAAGTGTTGAACAGTGGGGAAGAACTGTACTGAGAGAGATAGGTCAGAACCCTCTCTCCTCCCTCATACTCCAGCACAAAGCCTGAAGAGTTACCCCTGGACCTGGGAAGCCAGGGAGATACCTAGGAACCCTTCAGTGACTTTGGGGTGGGCATTTGACAGCTAAGGCCTTCTAGGGTTTTCATCTTCTTCCTAGGGGAAGGAGATCAGTTTGTTTATTCTGACCTTTGCTGAACTCCAGCAGTTTTCCACTTGCTTCTAACACCTACAAAGGGCCTAAGTCATGATGTTCTCTTCTCTACATCTTAGCCACCTTTACAAGTAGAAGTAAAATATAGATAGATAGATAGATAGATGATAGATAGATAGATAGATAGATAGATAGATAGATAGATAGATAAGCATAGAAGACAGAAAAGTGCCCATCTTCTCATCACAGCATGTTACCCAAATTCCATTTACTAACAAATCCTGGAGGTAGTCACCTACTAAATAAAAAGGGGAATGCTGGGAGATATCTCAGTCATATGCGTGAGAACCTAAGGTTGCTCCCTATAACCCACATTAAAAAAAAAAAAATGCCAGGCATTGTGGCATGTGCTTATAATTCCAGCACAGGGAAAGCAAAGACAGGAGGATCTCTAGGGCTCACTGGCCAGACAGCTTAATTTATGAACTTCACACTACTGAGAGTTTGTCTCAAAGAAGGTATCTCTGAAGGTGTCACCTGAGGTTGGCCCCTGGCTTCCAAAGGCACACACACCTTTGCACATATATATTCACTTGCATACATACACACGTTTTTTAACATTATTTTGGCTGAGTTTGGAAAGTTTCTGTCTGTGATTAGCTATTCCTGTTGCCAATAGGCCTGTGGTGAGGCTGCATATACTGGTTAAAGTGTGCAGCCAATGAAAACTCAAAGAGGGAGGTCCAGAAACCCACAATCCCCTTAAAGCACATCCCCATTACTAAGATCTCCCCTAGGTTCCACCTCTTCAAGTTCCTATCACTTCTACTAGCTCCAGGTTGGGGACCATGCCTTTAGGAGATCCTTAAAGCAACAACCTAGGACTTCATTTCACCCCCTAACCTACTGCTTCTGTACCCAGCTTTCCTTCTCCTTCAGACAAGCTTTTCCCTCTCTCTTCCCCACTGGCTTGAAGTCCTTCTGATCTTCTCTGTCCTCTCTCACTCTCACAGCTTTTGCAGAGCTTCAGACAGACATCAATGAACTAACCAGTGACCTGGACCGATCAGGAATCCCCTACCTGGACTACCGCACCTATGCCATGCGAGTCTTGTTTCCAGGCATTGAGGACCACCCTGTTCTGCGGGAGCTGGAGGTACTGCCTGTCTTCCAATGAAGTAGGCCAGGGTTCCCAGGAAATTAGGAGCAACTCTAAGGTTATGAAGGAAAAGGGCCAGCAGTTCATAACAGCTTAAAAAAAAAAAAAAAAAAAAGGAAAAGGAGAAAGGAAATAAAGGAAATGGGCCAGTATTTTGTAACAGGCTTTAAAAATGACTCTGAGACTCTGAGATTGTTTGTTGGTTTGTTTACTCGAGAGAATGAATCAGGGCAGAGGAAATTACAAAAAAAAAAAAAAAAGAATAAGCTAATAGAATTTCTCTCATCGGGTAAATGAGGTATATCCCTTGCCAGTGCTGTTCAGAACTTCAGCACATAGACAAGTAGAGGGGACACAGAAGACAACTGAGTTTAGGGATAAAATGGCTACAGCCCTCATGAAGGGGGTCCTATAGCAGGCATTGTCACCATCAGGCCCTAAGAGAGTGGACAACCAGAGCCTGTCCCCTAAAGGTCATCCTGTATACCCCCAGGTACAGGGAAATGGACAGCAGCATGTGGAGAAAGCCCTGAAAGTCTTTGCCCAGCTTATCAACAACAAGGTGTTCTTGCTGACCTTCATCCGCACACTGGAATTGCAGCGCAGCTTCTCCATGCGTGACCGTGGCAACGTGGCCTCTCTCATCATGACAGGCCTCCAGGGCCGCCTGGAATATGCCACTGATGTCCTCAAGCAGCTGCTGTCTGACCTCATCGACAAGAACCTGGAGAATAAGAACCACCCCAAGCTTCTTCTCCGCAGGTCTGACCCAGAGCAGGGGAAAGGCAGTTATAGACCTTGTCAGATAGGCTCTCGATAGCCTCAGCCTCAGCTTCCGTGCAGGGATGCTGTGCCCTCATATCAGCCCAGTGCGGAATGTGATCTTCTGCTGGTCCTGGAAAACCAAGTGGCTTTCAACCCCAGACTCACCACTTGTCTCTGTGACCTCACACCCGGGCTGCTGCCCTTTTGTTGTTTGGTTTCCACATATTTAAGATGAGAGAAATAGCTGTCTCTGCCTCCAGAGCTGTGTGCCCTAACATGGTAGCCACTATTATCTAAAATGAAATATAAACTTTGATTTCTTCATCTTACTGGTCACATTTCCTGTGTCCAGACACCCTGTGTTTATGGCCACCATATTGGACAACACAGACAAACCATTTCCCATCATCATTCTTAGCTCTGATAGACATGCTGGGCTGGAGAACAGAAGCAGCAGATTTGGGGCCCTGCTTCATGGCTTAGAATTGCTAGCATGTACCACCTACCTCAGTTGCCCCTTTTCTGGCAGGGCATAGATTTTAGAGGCCCTCTGTCTCTCTCCTGCACTCACCCTTAGTTAAGGCCATAGTGAGCCAAGCACAGATCTAAGGCTCTGAGCAGCAGGAGTTAATTCTGTCACCTCTACTCCAGCTCTTCCAGTACCTTTGCTCACTGGTCTTGGGTTTTCAGGCCACACATGGCATGGCTTTGTTTTATAAGCACTGAGGCTCCATCCTGCCAGTATGAACATTGGAAGCTTTCATTAAGAATTGTTATATTTAAATTAGAGCTAATCTCAAACACAATGCAGAGAGAGAGTGCTGGGAGGGCCCAGAGAGAAAGCTGCAATTTCTTCTGCCATTGTCACTCTCTTCCAACCCTTATTGCTAAGCAGCCATGGCAAATGCCTGGGGTTTACTTCAGCCAGAGGGTATAATTTGCACCACGTGTGAGGAGTTAAAATACCTCTTGGCATCCCCATCAACAAGGTCTGTCACAGTGCTTGGCTTTGTTTCTTCCCAAGCCTCCAGATCTGTAGCCTAGGGTGGGGGAGGGGAAGGAGGTAGAGCTTGCAGAAACAGATTCCCCTGTTGGCTAAACTCTTAAGCACTGCTTTCTACCTGCAGGCCTAGAGAGCCTATGAATCACAGTACTAATCACTCATATTTACATAGTGTTTTACTGTGTGGGGCCAGATGTTATCTTTTGCATTTTAAGTATATTTACCCATTTAACTCCAACAATTGAAAGTGTGAATTAATTATGACTGTGTCCATATAATGATGGGGAAAATGAACCCAGAAAAGCCAAATGACTTGCCCAAAGTTATACAGTCAGTAATTATTATAGTAAATAATGTAGCATTTGAATATGTGGCAATATGTATTTGGAGAGGCAGGCACCAGGCATGCACCACAGAGTACCAGAATATGCAGAAACCACAAAGGAACAGGCAGATTCTCTTCATGGCCATGAGGCCAGAGGGAACAGGAAACTAGTCCTTTACAACCTGTGGGATAAACATTTGTCTACAACCCACATTAGGTGTCACCAACAGTTTGTGGTAGCACAGAGCAGCAAAGATGAAATGTCCAGAGTCTCAGAAAATTAAATCCTGGAAAATGCCCCTTCCCCTTCCCCAGGCAACTTCCCATTAAGTATGGGAAAGAGATCACTCTTTGCTAGTCACTTCCAATTATTGCTGGAGTTTGGTTGTGTTGCTAGGGTCCAGTCTTGACCCTATGCTCTTACACCCACATGAGAAGCCTAGATATACCACAAGACACCTATATAAAGGATGATCTCTCACCCCTCTGCCTCCTCCAGGACTGAGTCTGTGGCCGAGAAGATGCTGACCAACTGGTTTGCTTTTCTTCTACACAAGTTCCTGAAGGTAAGAGAGTGTGAGCAGGGCTAGAGCCAACTACACACCCTGACCTTGGAACAGCATGGGGACCTGACCCTCAGAAACGGGTTTCGTGGCATAGCTCCCCCCAAGCAAAGCAGGCCTGAGTTCTCTCTGCTGGCTGCAGATGCAGTCAGGCCAGGCAGGATCCATACGCTACCCTGATATGATTACAGGAGTGTGCTGGGGAACCACTCTTCATGCTCTACTGTGCAATCAAGCAGCAGATGGAGAAAGGCCCCATCGACGCTATCACTGGTGAGGCCCGCTACTCCCTCAGTGAGGACAAGCTCATCCGGCAGCAGATCGAGTACAAGACCCTGGTGAGGAAGCCAAAAGCAAGATTCTAACCCTAGTACCACCTGTGACTGTCCCTACTCTACCTTCTAGTCCATGGGGCCATCTATCAAAAATGAGGTGCAGTGACCAATCTGGGACAATCCAAAAGTCATATCAAGTTACTGAATAGTAAATCAGACTCTCTCTCACTGGTGAGCCAAATGAGCTCCCTATGCCTCAGATGATATAAGGGAGAACTTCACTCACCAGTAAGAACTGCACAGTCAGCAAGTAAAGAAAGCAAGTGTGCTGGTCTCTAGTATAGAAGCTTTGAGGACATGTCAGGCCAGTACTTGACACCCATGGATCTATCTTGAATCCTCTAAAGTGCCTCACTCCAAGATTACATTCCCTCAACCCATCTAGGAAGTAGACTTCCTTTTTCTTGAGAAAGGATTAACATCCTAGCTTTGGCTCTCATAGTAGATGTCAGAAAGAAGAGGAAAGAACCAAGTTTCAGGACAGAGAACCTCATTGTTCCCATAAGAAGATTCTGAGGATTTAGTGTCTTCCCAAACTACTTCCCAAGTATCTCCAACTGATCCTTGATGCTTACTTACAGATCCTGAACTGTGTCAACCCTGACAACGAGAACAGCCCAGAGATCCCAGTGAAGGTTCTAAACTGTGACACCATCACTCAAGTCAAGGAGAAGATCCTCGATGCAGTATATAAGAATGTTCCCTACTCCCAGCGGCCAAGGGCCGTGGACATGGACCTGGGTAGGAAGCCTGGGGCTGGACTAGGAGGGAAAGAGGGGAATGTGGCTTCCCAGAGAGCTATCAGGCCATGAGATAGCTAGAAGAAAGGGATGTGAAGTTTGGCCTTCTTCACAGCCCCCACAGGAGCATAGCCAGACCCTGGCCTTCTCCCCTAGGCTTTGTCTACTCAGAGAGTCTTCCACATCTGCCTTGCCCCTCCCTCACCCTGTCCTTTGGATGTCTCAAAGCTCTGCCACTGACATCAGCAAATGGAGACAAGGTTACTAGATCTCTAGAGGACACACAAATAGGGTGGCCTTGGCTGCCCCAGCCCCTCTCACTGCTGCCTATACCATCCTTTCCACCCAGAGTGGCGCCAAGGCCGGATTGCCAGAGTGGTGTTGCAAGACGAAGACATTACCACCAAGATAGAAGGTGACTGGAAGCGGCTTAACACACTGATGCATTACCAGGTAAGGGCAGGCCTTCCCTGTGGCCCACATCCCCAAGAATGTCTCCTTTTCTCTCTGTTAGAAAACTGCAAAAGCCAACAAGGTGCTCTCCATTTTCTTCTTCCCTGGGTCTGGAACAGTGATGCTCAGCTTTGACTGCCCCATCAGATTAGCTAAGGGGACTCACAAAACATGGGCACTCTGATGCGTCTATCTCTACAGTAGAAGGGACAACATATTGCAAAATCCTATCCCTGGATAGTTCCAGAAAGGTTCCTTGTGCTCATTTCTCTGGCATCTTACTAATGCCACTGGCTCCCTGACTTGCAGCAGAATAGGGCACAGACTTGTCTTCAGCCCTTAAGATCCCCAGTAGCTGTAAAAATTACTTGAGTGCTCTTACTTTTTACCCATATGGAGTACCCTGACAGGCATGTAGATAAGATTGAACATAGAAGGTGACAAGGAATATGTTTGTAATACCAGCAGACACATGAAATGAACAGTCATAAAAATTCCAGCAAAAGAATATAAGCAGCCACCCTGCTTTCATCCCATGGGAACCACTCACAGCTTAGGGATCTCTATAAGATTAAGCACAGGTATACAGGTTGGGATTCAGGAAAAGTACTAAAATAGGAACTGGAATTGAGAGATACCAAGGAAAATTAAGCGAACCAGAGGAAGTGCCTTAGGCTATAAGACCCATGGGACTGTTTGATTAATAATATCCTCCTATGTGCCTGGCTTACAAAGAGAGGCTGACAGGCTAGGCTGAGCTACCAATAACCAGCCACTGGGAGGCTCTGAAGCTGAAGGCACTGGGGGTACCCCAACATACCCCTTCCTGTGCTTCCCCATGCTATACCTGGACCTCAGTCCCAAGTGGGGGAAGGTATGTAGGCAAATGTATTCTGGACCAACACTCACTCTGGTAGTGGCATTCTATAATTTCTCCCAACTGTAAGCTATTCATCTGTGCACTACAGATAACACCAATGGCAGGGTAGGGTGTGAAGGTAGCTAGAGGAATTAGAAACAAGTGCATAAACTCAAAATTTAACTTACATACAAGCAGGAATAATCAAATCACTCCTTGTTAATTCCTCACATACAAATACACACACACCTTCACATGGTAAGTACATCCAGAACAATTGTAATGAACCAATTTGAGGTAAATGAGAAAGCTCAAAAGAGACCAAATATACGCCACCAACTCTTGTTCCTGAAGGGCAGGCTGAGGGCCTTTGCTTACATCCATTTCTGATACCTAAGGCTTGTTTCTGAGTTTTCCAACCTGTGACTTCCCATAAGAAGAAAATACCCCTTTCCTATTGTGTCCTTTTACAAAACACCTCCAACTCTGTCACTTATTGTTCATATATTCATTCATTCCTCAAATATTTACTGAGCTTTCCCGAGTGCAAGGCATGTCTCACACTCTTTTGACAGAGTGTCAGGGACAGCAGGGAGTCTTTCTTCCTTAGAATTGATGAAGATGATGTTATTATTCAAAATGCCAACATAAATACCAACACATGCTGAGTGCTCACTTGGTACCAGGTACTTCACTCAGCCTTTATGTGTCTTAATTTTTTTTAAATAATCATTACAACAGTGAATATCAGACATAATTATTATCCCCAGTGACAAATGAGACAACCAAGGCCCAGAGAGGCTAAGCCTGCAAGTGGTGGCAGAGCTAAGGTCAGATCCAGCCAGGTGCTTTTGAGCATGGGTTTATATCACCTACTGGCTGAAAGAGAGAGGGGGAAAAAACAGGGGTGGAGTGGAGAGACAGAGTAAGAGAAAGTGAGAGACAGACAGACACATACACACAGAGTTTTCTTTAATAATTAGCTTTGGAACTGGTCACTTTAGTCACCTTGTGAATTTCCCTAAAGATGACAACAGACCATAAATAATGTCATCTCTCTTTGCTGGGAGCATAAACTCCCAGACTTGCCAGAGTAGCATTTCTGGGTTGTAGGTGGAAAAATTTCTTGAGAGACAGAACGCTGGCACCTCCTGAGGACAATGGTGGCTGCACAGGACTCAGAATCCAAGAGCTTTACCTGTTCTTCCCTCTTGGTACCTTCCCCAGAATCAAAGGTTTTTGGAGCCCCTGCAGAAGAAAATCATCTTAATTAACAAAGAGATGGAAAAAAAAAAACCTGGGCTCCTGTAGATTTATAAGGAGGGTAAAATTAAACACCACCACTAAAGCTGGCTATCAGGGAATCTCGTTAGCACTAATGTTCATTTATAGTTTGACTTCTCAACATTTAATTCTTTTTTGGTAGGAGAGAAGAACTGACAATTTAAGGCCCAGAAAGATGGTTTTATGGCTGGTGCAGCTATAAATCAGACTTACAAAGTTCATAAAAATTGTTAAAATAAAAAATGGTTTAATAGGAATGTTTTATGGCCCATAACATTATTATAGCTGTTTTATTCCCTCTGCGTTAGGGGTTTAATTGGATCACCACAATTCTGAGGATTCTTCGTTTTTATTAGATAGAGGGCAATCTTAAATCAAGATGGCCCCAAATGTCTTCTCTATGGCTCTTCATTCATCAGCCCTCCCCCAACTGCCAGGTGCAAAGCCTGGCATCTCCTCAGAGGACAGGGCATTGTGCCATCTTTCTCCTAGCTCCCCAAGGGCAGGTGCCCTTTTGATGCAACTATTCGAGGTGGCCAACACATAATACAACACAGGCCAGGAAGAAATTGGAGCCAAAGGAAAAAGATGCAGTTCAAACCAATGTGACTTGTAATAAAATCTCAAATTAAGAAATTTAATGAGGAGAATGTGTGCTCTGGAGATGTGCAGGTCTGAAGAAAAATATCAATTCCTTAGTATATTAATGATGAGACTTTGAAGCAATGATTTAGCCCACCCCTGATTCTATTCTATTGTCTGTAAAGTGGAATAGTCATGCATAACACAAGATTGATAGGAGGCTGATCTAACTCTTCTGCCCAGTATAAATAAAGTTGTGTCATTTTAAATTTTTCACTAACCCCATTAAAAATGCTGAAACAGACTGTTGAAATAATGTTAACAATATACTTTAACTCAGCTTAAAAGAATTAATCCAAATGTATAATCAATATAAGACTTATTAATGACATCATTTATGCTCTTTCATTCATACTAACTTTCTGAAATCCCGTGTGTGTGTGTGTGTGTGTGTGTGTGTGTGTGTGTGTGTGTGTGAACTCAGATACTTAGTTGAGACTGGTTGTGTGTGAGATGGTCCAGACACATGAAGGCAATAATAGTTGTAAAGTTTCTGAAGTCCTACTGATCCCACACTCCCTAGAAGTGCTTAACTTCTCAAGACACCTGAATTTTCTCATGTTTCCTTTTGTGCCCTTCTTAGGTGTCAGACAGGTCAGTGGTAGCGCTGGTCCCCAAGCAGACCTCCTCCTACAACATTCCTGCCTCTGCCAGCATCTCCAGGACATCCATTAGCAGATATGGTAAGCAGCAGAGTGCAATCAAGAAGCTCAAGGTCTAGGCTTCTGCAGTCCTCAGGGACCACCTTAACAGGAAGGCCCTGCTGCTGCCATTCTTTCATAAAAGGTACTGGCTCATCTGTCTTCTTCCTGATGAGTCTTAAGGGTCATGTGTCTCCTTTGAGATGAGGCAGCAGGTAAAGGAGTTGGAGTAGCCCAGCAGAGGAATGTACCCTGACTGGAGGTTTCTCTATTCCACGTTATAGCTGTGATCCTGGTTGGATTAGTAATTATAGCCTCTTTTGTCAAATTTTGGGACACAAAACTGATCATTCTTTCATTTCCATTTCCAGCCTCTGAGCAGTGTGTGTCATTCTCTCTTGCTTTGTTTTGGTTGTATGGACACTCAAAGGCACTAGACTGTCCAGTTGAAAGAGACTACAAGACTGAAGGCAAAAGCTTCAAACAGTGTTCAGAATATGTTCTAAGACCCCAAAAGAAGTGCTTGTTCACTCTGAAGAGGATCATTACAACTTGAGCCCTTAGTACCTAGACTTTTTTTTTTTTTGAGACAGTTTCTTTGTGCAGCCTTAGCTGTCATAGAACTAGCTCTGTAAACCAAGCTGGCCTCTAACTTACAGAGATAGGCCTGCTTCTGTCTCCTGAGTGCTAGGATTAAAGGCATATGCCACCACCCCCCAGCACTATTTAGACTTTCTAGAGTGCTCCAGTATACACATCCAATGACATTTTACTTTATTCTTGCTTATTGCTGGAAACATCAGAAGAGAGGGGGCTCCTACATTCTCATGTGAGTCTGAGCTCTTAAAACAACTGATGGGCAGAGTGAATGGAATTTTATGTAAGAAGTGGGAAATAGTAAGAGCTGGAGGGGACGGGAACTCCACAAGGAGAGCAACAGAACAAGATAATTTGAACACAGGGAACTTCCCAGAAAATCATACTCCAACCAAGGACTATTCGTGGAGATGACCTGGAACCCCTGCACAGGTGTAGCCCATGGCAGTTCAGTGTCCAAGTGGTTTACATAGTAATGGGAAGAGGGACTGCCTCTGACATAATCTGATTGGTCTGCTCGTTGATCACTTCCCCCTGAGGGGGGAGCAGCCTTACCAGGCCACAGTAGAGGACAATGCAGCCACTTTTGATGAGAACTGATAGACTAAGATCAGAAAGAAGAGGAGAACCTCCCCTATCAGTGGACTTGGGGAGGGGCATGCATGCAGAAAGCGGAGGGAGGGTGGGATCGGCAGGGGAGGAGGGAGGGGCTTATGGGGGGATACAAAATGAATAAAGTGTAATTAATAAAAAATTTAAAAAAATTTTCTAAATCTTACTGAGACTCATAGCCAAACTTTGGGCAGAGTACAGGAATCCTTATGGAAGAAGGAGATAGAAAGACCCAGAGGGGACATGAACTCCACGAGGAGACCAACAGAGCCCAAAAACCTGGGCCGAGGAGGTCCAGCAGAGACCAATAATCCAACCAAGGACCATGCATGGAGAGGACCTAGACCCCCTGCTCATAGGAAGCCCATAGGCTGCTCAGTTTCCAAGTGGGTTTCCTAGTAAGGGGAACAGGGACTGTCTTTGACATGAACTCAGTGGCCAGCTCTTTTATCACCTCCCCCTGGGGAGTACAGCCTTGCCAGGCCACAGAGGAAGATGATGCAGTCAGGCTTGATGAGATCTGATAGACTAGGGTCAGATAGAAGGAGAGAAGCAGTGGGCTAGGGAAGGGGTATCTGGGGAGAAGAGGGAGGGTGGGTGAGACTTGGAGGAGATGAGGAAGGGAGCTACAGTTGGAATACAAAGTGAATAAATTGTAATAAACAAATGAATAAATGAAAGAAAAAATTCTAAATCTTTTTTTCTAGAAAGTTTAGGCTTCTCTTTCCAACCAAGGATCCCTAAAACTATTTTCCAAATACGTAGTCCCAAGAGTTCTTTCAAGGTAGAGCAGGTCTATTCAGCATAGATGCAGTAGGTTGATGGTATTCCTGAAGGATGATTTGAGTAGGAGACTGCCCTGTCTCACTCTGGCCTCCCCCCCCCTTTTCCAGACTCTTCCTTCAGATACACAGGCAGCCCAGACAGCCTCCGGTCCCGGGTCCCCATGATCACTCCAGACCTGGAGAGTGGTGTTAAAGTATGGCATCTGGTGAAGAACCATGACCATGGTGATCAGAAGGAGGGTGATCGGGGCAGCAAAATGGTATCTGAGATCTACTTGACCCGGCTCCTAGCCACCAAGGTAACTCTTGTAGTACCCAAGCTAAGCTGTTTCCTGCATTTGGCACAAATACATATGTTACAGGTGCTTCTGATGTCTTCTACTATCTCTGCCTTTTATACCTGATTTCTAGTCAAGTGAGAAAGAAAACAGAAAGGTGTAGTTGAACCAGCAATCTAAGGAAAGACTATCTATCCCTCCTGACTCACTGTATCTTAGGCTGACAGGAGATGAAGGCAGCACCATCTAGCTTTCCCAAAAAAGAAAAAAAAAAACCAAGCCTTCAGAACTCTAACACAGTGGCTTAAAGCTCTAAGACGTTCTCCCAGAATGGTCCAGAACAAGTCTACCAGACTCATATCTACCTTTTTGCTTTGTTAAATATGACTTAATAAAAGACCACCAATAAACATCTAAGAAACTCAGGGGTTCTAAACTAGTCCTCAAAGTGTCTTGCCTGTTAACTGGGACCCAGGTCCATGCTTGTCAGTGCTTCCAGGATCCATGAAGCCTGTGGATCAGGGCTGTGCCTAGATTCTCTTGAAGCTAGACCTACAGTCTGTGTTCCTGATATCAACACCTTAAAGCTGTTCATCCTTCTTGTCATACCCTCTAAGCCCCACCAGAGGTCAGACTCCCTAAGAACCCTCTGTAGACTCTGCCACCAGCCTGAGCCCTCTCATTCATTCCAGGAAATTTACTTCCCATCTTCCCATCAAACTCCCTGAGCCCATACCTTCAGGATTCCCAGATTTGTTAATCCCTCCAAACCACACAACACCCCAACTAGTATCTGCCTCATTCCTGCCCCTCTACCTGCACGCTCTTGCATTTCAGACACATTTTCAAGTTAAGATGTGTCCAAGGCAGCACCTGGCATGCCTTTCACTGCCCTCTAGCACCCACCCACCATTTCACTGTTCCTCCCCGTTTGCTCCCACAGGGCACCCTGCAGAAATTTGTGGACGACTTGTTTGAGACCTTGTTCAGCACTGTGCACCGGGGTAGTGCTCTTCCCCTAGCCATCAAGTACATGTTTGATTTCCTGGATGAGCAAGCAGACAGACACAATATCCATGACACAGATGTGCGGCACACCTGGAAAAGCAACTGGTAACCCCAGGGGAGCTCAATGGGAGTATCACCGGGAGAGGTCCAGCATCTTGGGGGTTGGAGACCAACAGAGGCTGGAGATGAGAGGTAGCTGGGTCAGCTGGGGCTAGGTGAGCTGAGACTCATGGAACACAGCACACATACCACACACACACACACACACACACACACACACACACATCCTTTGGGAGAGCTGTTCCTCTTGATGTAGAGTCCTATAGTTATCAGGGGGAAGAAGTTATGGAATAGATACAAATATGTATGTGAAACCTACAGTGACGCTTTGCAGTCCATCACTATTGAGCCTTCTGAGAGATGTGTTTCTAAGCTGGGACCCTTGGCAAAGATGACCAATGCTGGGGATGAGGCTGGTACTTGCTAGACTTGACAAACCCACAAGTATGAGGATTTCATTTGCAAACTTGATCTCTTAAAGCTAAGTTTTTACCCCAGCAACATAGCTTTCAGGAAGCAACAGAAAGAATGTCCTAAAGGCATGATTTTTGTTCAAGTCATTTCCACATCCAGAATAGTGGTGGGAGAAGCAGCTTCTGATAGCTCCTAGCATGAAACATTTCCCTCTCAGGTTTTATAGCTTGCGCCATGCTAAGAACTAGCTATCGACCAGACAGGGCTTATCCAAGAACTAGAGTCAAAAGGCTTTCTCTAGGACTGAGCACAAAGGAGGAAAACATTTGGATTGGGCAGGAAGCCCATGCAGCTGTCTGGAGTCAGCAATCCCCAGAAAACAGAGTCAACACAGATGGGCTCAGGCTGTCATTTAGAAATCAAAAGTCCTAACAACCAGCACAACACTTTGAAAGAGCCAATGGGGCCTTGGAATAGACCTTAATTCTCTTGATATTGTGGCCACTGGGTCCTCCTCTTCTGTAATTTTTGGTCACAGTGGAATGACATGGTTCAGTAAGCGAAGAACATTCAGTAAGCTCTACTGAAACAGATCAATGGCATCTCTTCAGCTTTGCAGGCAGGATGACTAGCAGTTTGGTGGAAAAGAGGAGAAAGTTCAAGATTACTCCCTTCTCTGAGCCTTCTGGCTAGTCTCAAGCAACAACAATGCACCCTCCTCCCCAGTGGTAGTGTGATAAAGCTGAATCATATGGCTCATACCTCACATAGCAAAGATCCAAGGAAAAGAGCTTAGACATGTCCAGCACTGGCAGAGAACAGAACAGAAGAGCTGTGCCAAAGCTGGCTGAGGCAGTTCCTCCTAGGTTTCATGAAGAGATTGCAGGTTGGAAGACAAGCAAAATTTACAACAGGAAGTTTGGGAGGATACCAATACTGACATTTACAACACCTGTCATTATAAAGATATTTGGAAATTTTGGAGTTGGTGAAATTGGCAGAGGCAAAGAAAAGAATAGGAAGAGCTAAGGACACTATCTCAGTTCTAGAAGGGTTAGCACATGGCAGAGTTCTTGTCACACAGGCATCAGAAGAGTCAAGGCTAGAAGGCAGCTGGGGAAGGTAGACTTTGGAAATGGGCAAACCAGCTACAGAAGCTGTTCTGGTTTTAAAGGCAGGCAATGGGATTACTGCCTTATGGCCTCAGGAACAGTAGAAGGCTATTCTTCTCTGCCTTTAGATTCCAGAGTCTAGAAGCAGCCTGCAAATTTTTGGTGGGTTCCTTTTAGGAAAAACTCAGAGCCACAATGAGCCAGTCTCTCCCGAAATGCCAGCAAGAGCTCTTTCCCTTTCCTCTACCCACCCCCCTGGAGGGGACCCCTGAATGAAATTCTCCCATGAGAAAGCTGTCCTCTGACCTAGACCTGGAAAGTGGCTCAGTGGCAGACTGGGTCTAGTCCCCTGAGGCAGTGGTTGGGACTGCTTACCTACTTCATCCTCTTATACAATGGCCATCAGCACTATGAGAGACTCTAAGAGCCCAATGGTTTTGTCTGAAGCTGTGAGGAAATCATGTTGTTCTCTGTGGTTGACCTTCCCCTGGAGCACTGAAGCCTTTGGAAAAGCCTGTCAAGAAGGGGCAAAGCCCAGACACACCTGCTACTCAGCTAGTAGGGAACAGAGTGAATGCCCTGGTATGACAAGATCAAAACTCCTCAGCTTTATCTTGCATGCAGGGAACAGCATAGGCTGAGCAACCAGCCCCTGATGGACCTCAGCCCACTCCCTTTTCTTTTAGAGTGGAACATCCACTCTACCACTCAGCAGTAAGTACTAGTGTTAGTACTAGTAAGGGGCAAGGTCAAAGTGCACTCTTCAGAGTTCTCTGCCTTTTCCTACAGCCTCCCTCTTCGCTTCTGGGTGAATGTCATCAAGAACCCTCAGTTTGTATTTGACATCCACAAGGGCAGCATCACAGATGCCTGCCTCTCTGTGGTAGCCCAGACCTTCATGGACTCCTGCTCCACATCAGAGCACCGACTGGGCAAGGACTCACCTTCTAATAAGCTGCTCTATGCCAAGGATATCCCCAGTTACAAGAACTGGGTGGAAAGGTCAGTAGGTTTCTCAAGGCACACACTGTGGGCATCAGTGTCCAGAGAAGACCAGGACTTTATACCCACTATGTTGTAGAAATGGAGGGGGCTTTGTGTCCTGGGAAGTCTGAAAATTATTATCCTAATTTACATTTACTGAGCATGTAAGCATTACTGTGATAAGGATTTTGTATGTGTTTCACTGAAATGCCCAATGTTTGTACATTTGTAGAATGCCCAAATGGATAGTTGTAAAATAGCTACTATGATTATCCCTCTATTATGTCTGTATAATGAGAGAATGGAGGCACGGTCACCAGCTAGCAGGTAGAAGAGCTGAGATATGACTACAAGAAATCTTGCCAGAGTCGTGGGCTATTAACTACTCAGGACACAGCAGCTCTTAGCTAGCTGGAGTGTACTGCAGAAACTTGGACTACAACTTAGACTCACACCTCAGCTTGAGACAGAGGCCACACTAGAGAAGAGATGGAAGGCAGGAGCAGTGGGGAACCTGGTTTTCCCAAGGGAGCTGGGCCAGGGTGGGTATTGGTGGATATTTACTGAATCTCCATCATAGGCCCTTCCTGTTCATTTAGATACTATGCAGATATTGCCAAGCTGCCAGCCATTAGTGACCAAGATATGAATGCCTACCTCGCGGAGCAGTCCCGCCTGCATGCCACAGAGTTCAATATGCTGAGTGCCCTCAACGAGATCTACTCATATGTCAGCAAGTACAGTGAGGAGGTAAGAGAAGGTCTCAGGGGCAGAGACCAGCCCACAGCTTGATCCGGGCCTGAAACAACAACAGTAGCTGTCACTTCTAAAAATCACAGTCCACAGTCAAAGTCAGCGAGCCCCAAATCATCTTTTCTTTACAAGACAGCCTAACGGCTCCTGCATCATTGAACTCCCTGTACATTATCTTCTCTCACTCAAGGATTGTGTGGCTAATTTTATTCTTTCTTAAGCAATGAACAGAATTATCAGTTTACACGGAGGCAGATACTGTCAGTCTACCAGTCAGATTTCATACTGAATGGTAGACTTTGCCATGAACAGATGTTAACCAGGAAGGTGACAGACCATGCATGAGTGCTGAACCTAAAGAAAGAAATAGCAAAATAATAGCTGCCCACACTTAAGTAGTCCTTACACATGCTTTAAGCACACAAGAGCTCTACATGCACACGAATATTCCTGCATGTGTCTGTGTGATGGTTTTGTGGCATGCCACCCACGTGGCAGTGGTCCCACTAGAGTAAATGAAGCTAAAAACTTCCTGTGTGACCTCAGAGCCATCCCAAACTCATAGTACCCATGATTCTATGGCCATGCTGTGTAAATGAGCCCACCAACCTGCTGGTTCTGCAGCTTCAAGACCTAGTACAGTCTGTGCTCTTGATAGTAAGTAACTATGTAACTAGTGCATAAACTGTGTTTACTATGTTGTACTTTTATTACTGTTTTAGAGCTTACTCCTACTTATAAAAGCAGAGCCAAATACTGCACATGTGTTCTCTTGTACTTGATTCAGGCTCCTGTGTGTGAGTACTCTAGGCTATTTTCTTGATGACAAAATCATGTAAGAACTCTTTTTCTCTAGAAGTGCTCTCAGTTATATAAAGCCCAACTATGCATAGATCTATTCATTAAATCATGCCAGCTATTTGACATCACATTCCTAAAGGCATAATGGAGAGGTAGAGGCAAAGGTGCTGGGCTGATGATTCCAGGAAGTTGTGCTTTTGAAGCTGAGTCTTGAGTCACCTTTGTTTTGACCCTCAGCTCATCGGGGCACTAGAGCAGGATGAGCAGGCCCGGCGGCAGAGACTAGCCTACAAGGTGGAGCATCTCATCAACGCCATGTCCATTGAGAGCTGAAAGGAGGACATCCTGTTCCGGAAGAGAAACCATACAAACTATCACACTGGTGTCTCAAAAGGAAGGATGGGATGAGTGAAAGGTGTCAGGCCCCAGATCTGGCTGTCCTCTAACACCTCGCTGAGAAGAGAGGGAAAGGTTCCTCTCTCAATGCCAGCCATGTTTCATCACAGCCAATTCCTTCCAGAAGGACAGTGAACACAGTGTGAGCTCAGGACACCATGGGCAAGGAGAAGGTGGCCCTTTAAGCTGAGAGGCTTTTGAGCCAGATGGTTCTGCCTCTGTGACTGCTGCTTTGCATGAAAACTCATTTGATGTATATTGGGAAATAATGAGAACTTTATTTAATTTTTTAAGAAAAAGGGAAAAAACAAAAATAAAACAAAACATAAAGCCTCCCTGTCCTTCCCGTCCAACTTTTATTTAATCTGATTTCTGTTCCCTCCTCAGTAATATTTTTCCTTCCTTCTGTAACATCTCTTTCTTGATGTCAGAAAATGCCTGAGAGATGCTGAGTAAAACCACTATGGAAATGCTCTCCTCTCCCTTGAACTGAAAGGAAAAAGGAAGAGGGGGAGGAAGGAGCAGAAGTCTGTACTAAACATTTGGCAAACAAGCCGGGAACGCCTGAATCCACCACAGCCAGAAAAGCTGAGAACTTTAGACCTTTGCGGGAACTGTGAAAGCTCATCAGATCCTGGCTAATAGGAAACTGCTTTTCATGCTGCGCCCATGTATACCCTCATCTATGAAGAGGAGGAATGTACCCAACAAGGAACTGTGGGAATACCTTTTGTTTGTTTCATTTAATTCCAAACCTTGACAAATGAGGACTTGGTCTTTGGTACTTGTCTTTTGGTTTCCTTAGAGTTGATATGAGAAATGGGAGAAGTGAACCTCTCCCAGACCAGCCACCTCCTCCTTGAGGACATGGACAGAGCCCATGTCATCCTCTGTCATAAGCCAGGCACCCCAGAGGCCATACAGACCAGGCCTCCTAGGTCTGAGTTGAATGGGGAGCATGGGTGTTTGACTTTGGATTCCATTCAACCATCCACCAGTTTACGGCAATTAAAAAGAAAACAAACTCAAACACTGTTTACAGTAAGCAATACTTGAAGAGCGTAGGGTTAAGAAGCAGCAGTATTTATTATTATACTTTCTTTTCTTGTGCCTGGAGAGGGGAGGCCAACCTTTACTCATATCCAGAAGCTCCTGACCATCTAGGCACACTGCATTTGCCTCAGTAAATATGACTGTGGTATGCCATCATCTTTGTCATCTCTCTCTGTATTTGAAAGTGGATTACTTCCTGAGAAGGCAACCATCCTTCTTTCTGTCTCCTGATACCTAATGCCATAGATGGCCAGCTTTTCAGAGTATATCTTCGAAGAAGAGGCCAAGGCTCTATTGTTGGGCCCAGAGATAAGCTCTGTGGTAGCAGGAAAGGAAATTCAACTGGTAAACCCTCAGGGAATTCAGTCCTCCTGCCTTAGCATGGCCATTAGTAGCCAACTTCAACAGCTTTGCAATTAGCATCTGTCTCAAGGTAGGAGGACAAGAGGAAGGCAAAGGGTTGGCACAGGAATGCTGAAGAGATCTCCCCTCCTTGCCTTCTACTTTCAAAAGGGTCAGGAATACCAGGCTGTAGGGCTGGGAAATAAGGCCAACTATCCCAAGAGAGACTGGGCCTGGGTTATTTCCTTCACAATTAACTCAGGCCTCAGATTATACCTCCAGTTGATTCCAGTTTCTGAGACTCTGCTGACCAGATGTGACTCCCAGCACAGGTCAAGGAAGAGAGCCAAGAAGATGGCTTCCATTCCATGTGTGTGTCTTCAGACAGCTGTCTCTCACACAGCAGATGCTGTCTGGGCTGTTCAGCTTGTTTCTTAGCTGAATGCAGCTGACTAGTGGAGAGAGGAAAGCATTCAGCAAAATACTCAGGAAACTTGCTGATTTTATGATGATTCACAATCAGCCATGCCAACGCCACTTTTCTTCTGATAACCTACTCATGTTAAAGCCGTATTAATAGCCTGGAAAAAATACTAGTGACTGACCTTCCACACCAAGCCAAAGTATTTGCTCTTTACAGCACCCAAAGCTTGTCATCTTAGAGCCTGTATTTTATGAAAATGAAAGAAGTGATGTAGTCAAAACAAGAATATGAACATAAAACTTCACTACCCAGAATAAACTCCAGCCCACCCTATTTTCCATCTCAGGCTGAAGTCCAGAGTGCCATTTCATACAGAAGTAAAATGATAAAATGTTTGGCATCTCTTTCAATAGCATCTTACCCAAACCTTCCTCAGCTTGCCTACCTGGATCTTCCAGCAGCCACTGATGGTACCCACTTGCTGCCTCTGGCATGCTTCATTGAAAATATTTGGAGAATATGGAAAGAATGATGGGGAGAGAGAAAATCAAAGAACGTATATGAAGGGAGTATGGCCAGCCATGAAAGGTGGTCTAGCCACTTTGCTAAGGATTCTATTAGTTGGACAACTTGGGCTGAAAAAGAGAAGTGGCCAAGGGGCACAGCTAAAGAAAATTAAGAAGGAAAATTCAGCTGGAGACAGGCCAGGCCAGGAGGGTGAGTGATTTCAGAGTCTTGATCTCATTCTAGCTTTCTACCTGTCCTTCCACCAGCTCTTTGCTCTGGCTCACCTGTAACTGATAGTGTCTAGGGAATGAAGAAGAGAGGAGGTTGATTGGTCACTCTTCTTACTGTTATCCAACTTGAGGATATTATGTCCTGTTGTTTAAAAAGAAATTATTAAAGCTCCCACCCTTCTCCACAAAAAGCCATCTATTGGGGGAAGCATGAAGTCTTTTGCAAGCCTACCTACTATTAGTTTATTTCATTGATCTACTCAAAAGCCAATTCTTTAGGGGAAAAAAAACAGAACTGTAGAGGGCTTGGCAAGACAGAATTCCAGAAGACTATGTGGAGACTCATTCCTCACCTGGGTTTGACAGCACCTCCTGCCTTCTATGTGAGTCAGGCACTTGTTTGTCTGATGTTCTACCTCTTTCTGTGGTTTGACTCTCAAAACCACTTCTGATCCCCCTTTCTTTACAGAGTGCAGTTATTCAAGTCATGAGTACACTGTGATCTCACAGAAGGAGGGAACTGTGTTCTGCATTCATTCATTTGGAGAAGGTTCATAAGTAGTAATCATCTGCCAAGTTCTTAGAGGTTCTGGAAAATAGGGTGAATAAAAGCAAGATGGTCCTTCTCCAGCAAATGCATCTTCTCCAGGCTGCTAGACCAACCACCAATACAGCAGTATGGTTTTCCCACCATCCCCAGAGGAAAGCATAGAAAATGAGGTGCCACGATGGATGAAGGCTGACCCACCCAGCCACCTTACCTCATCCTGGAAACAGAATCCCCAGCAGTGAGATCTACTCTCATTTCTACTGCTACCATCTCTTTAGTCAGCACAGCCTTGCTCCTGACCTCCCATCAGTTCCACAAAGATGAGAATAAAAATTAACAATTAAGGCCGCCGATGCTTTGAGCACGAGATAAATCAATGATGGCTGTGCAAAAGCTAGCAGTGGTCTGATGCAATAAGCAGAGAGTGCCAGAAGCCCATAGATGCCCACAGTTGTCCGATACTGCACAACTGCCGCCTCTGTAATCACACCTGCTGCTTGGTGACCCTAAGCCAGCAGCTACCCTAAAAAGGTCCTTTCCAGCCACATTGTATCATAGCTAAGAACTCTGCAGCCTGCACACAGACAGGGATGAATTGAAACACGGAAGACTATGAGAGGGAGGAAATGCGAAGCAGCTTCAGGGACCCAGGGCATGGGGCAGATCTTATGGTGGGAGGGGCTGGAACAAGGTGGTCAGGTCTTCCTGATACCTTGTCTCAGAAGTGTGCTTGGAAAAGACGGCGGCGTCATTTTCATAGTCCACGTCTCTTTTCCTTCTCTCTCTTTTCTACTCATTCCCCAGAAGAAGAGTTAGCATCCAAGTCCCAGAGATACTTATAATGAAGGGTAAAGTTTCTCTTGGCACTTTCTAACTAGTTTAGGGAATGTCCTGAGAGATGTTCATGGCCAGTGCCTGTCAGACAGGCCTCAACACAATAAACAAACTGGAGATTCTCCTGCCTTGCACATACTCACAACTCACTCTCTTCTCACGGTCCCTCCTCCCTGCCTCTGTGCTAGGCCCCCAATGAAGGAGGAAGCTTCTTTTAGACTCAGTCATGGTCATCACTTTGACATTCTTGTTCTCCATTTTGATATTCAAGCATAAGGAAGTGTGGTCCCCACCAAACAGGACCAAAGTTCCTGAATGTATGGGAAAGAAAAAGACAAGCTCTTTATACAGGCACATGAGGGCCTTGAGCCAAGCTGCCTCTCCTCATCCCCTGTTATTCAGATCCTTCCCCATGACACACTGGAATCTGTATTATATCTATTTTTAAGAAAGTACAATGCTGGTTGTCTGGTTTTGTTGTTTTTACAGGTGTTATGAAATAATGAGAAAATGAAGTATTTAAATGTTCAAAAAAGCGGGGTTTTGTTATCTAATATATTATCATGTACCTATTGTAAATATGAAACTCCTATTTTGCAAGCCAAGGACACAATTTGTACTGTTGTTATATACAAATAAAGATTACTGGATTAAAAAAATCTTAAATCTTCACATAAACAATTGTTTGGCCACATAGGTACAGAATAACTTTGGGACAAATACAAGAAGCAGATATTCAGAAAGAGCAACTGAGTTGTGTTGTTTTGAATGAATCTGAGAAAACTCTGTGGATCCAGAGCTTATTAATGGCTAGCTTTCTTCACCACAGTTGTGCGATCAGCTCCAGTCATACCAGTGGGTGAACACTGCCCCCTAGCCGCAGGACCTCAGGAGACAGCTTGCCTCTGGGGAGGTTGGGCTTGCTGCAGGCTCCTTTCTAGAGTTCTGAGGACAGAACCTCTAGAACCAGCCCTTCCTAAAAGAACACTCACTCACAGATTAAGTGCTAGAGTGAAATGGGAATGAGAGAAGCATGGCCCTTGCTACTACTGCTTTTGGGAAGATTCTGAAATAGACTTTCAGACAGGCACTGAGAAAGGCAGCGGTATTCATTTTCACTTCAAAGGTTAAAAGTGAATAATAGACGGGGAGTACTTTTAGATCCATCCCAGGTGAGGGTATT